TAAGTCAGAACAACTAAAAATGTCCAAATATCATGGGTTATAACTTATGAAATCTAAAAGTTTGGTCTCCACAAAATTATTTACCAACTGGTCAGAATAACTAAAAATAGTGAAACAACTAAAAATGTCCAAAAATCTGGGTTATAGCTCATGAAATCGTGAATTTTAAACTCTAAAAAATAATTTGCCAATTGGTTGTAACAATTAAAAATGGTAAAAAAATCATGGGTTATATAGCTCATGAAATCGTGAATTTTAGGCTTTGAAAAATTATTTACAATTTGGCCGAAATTACTAAAAAAGATAAAAATTATCGGTTATAGCTGATGAAATTATAAATTTTTGCCTTCGTGAAATTATTTATCATTGGGTAGAAGCGACTCAAAATAGACAAAAATCATGGGTTATGACTGATGCAATAATGAATTTTCCCTCTATGTGATTATTTTCCAATGGGTCGAGATGAATAAAAATGACAAAAAATCGTAGGTTATAGCTCACGAAATCATGAATCTTTAACTCTACGAAATTATTTGTCAATGGGTCGAAAATACTAAAAATAATAAAAATTATTGGTTATAGCTTATTAAATTATTTATCTTGGACTTCACAAAATTATTTTTCATTGGGGTGGAAACAACTAAAAATGGTTTAAAATCATAGGTTATATAGCTCAAGAAATCATGAATTTTTGACTTCATGAATTTAATTGCTAATGGGCCAAAATAAATAAAACTAGCCAGCAATATTGGTTTATAGCTCACAAAATTATAATTTTCAGATTCTACAAAATTATTTGTCAATGGGCTGAAAAGAATAAAAATGGATAAAAATTATAAGTTATAGCTCTTGAAATTATGAATTTTGGACTACACTATTTTTTCCCTTGGGTCGAAACAACTAAAAATGGCAACAAAAAAAGTGTGTTATAGTTCATGAAATTGTGAATTTTAGATATTATAAAATTATTTTTTTAATGGGTCGAAATGACTAAAGATAACTAAAAATCATGGATCATAGCTCATGAATCATGAATTTTTAACTACACAAATTTATTTGCCAATGGATCAGACTAACTAGAAATGACCAAAAATCATGGATTATATCTCATAAACTAGTGAATTTTAGATTCCATCAAATTATATGCAAATTGGGGGAAAAGAGTAGAAATAGCCAAAAAATCGTTAGTTATGGCTCATGAAGTCATAAATTTTGGACTTCGGAGATTTGATTTATCCCTTGGGTCAAAACAATTAAAAATGACCAAAAGTTATGAGTTATATATAGCTCATAAGATCTTGAATTTTGGACTCTGCAAAATTATTTGCCAATGGATTGGAATGACTAAAATGGCCAAAAATCATGGATTATAACCCGTGAAATCATGAATTTTGAATTCCACAAAATTATTTATAATTTGATAGAAACAACTAAAAATAGCTTTTAAAATTGTTAATTATAACTCATGAAATCATAAATTTTGACCTCCGCAAATTTATTTACCAATGGATAGAAACGATTAAAAATAGCCAAATTTTTGGGTTCGTTGCTTATGAAATCATGAATTTTAGCAATGTAAAATTATTTGCTAATCGATCGAGATGACTGAAAATCTTTAAAAATCGTGGGTTATAGCTCTTGGATTTAAACAACTAAAAATGACCAAAACTCATAGGTTGAAATAAATTCTTGACCAATGAGCCAAAATTAATAAAAATGGCCAAAATTATGGATTATATACCATTAAATCGTGAATTTTAAACTTTACAAAATTATTTGTCAATGGGTCAAAATGAGTAAAAATTGTCAAAAATTATAGGATATAATTTAAGAATTCATGAATTTAGGGATCTACATATTTGTTTTTCCCTAGGGACGAAATAACTAAAAATGCCTAAAAATCGAGTCCTACAGCTATGAAATCTTAAATTTTGGACTCCACAAAATTATTTGCCAATAGGCTGAACGTCTAAAAATGGCTAAAAACTATTGCTCATAGCTCATGAAATCATGAGTTTTGGACTCTGAAAGTGTTTGCCAATGGGTTGAAATAACTAAGAATGGATAAAAATCGTGGGTTATAACTCATGAAATTGTAAATTTTATAATCTATGAAATTATTTACAATTCAGTAGAAATAACTAAAAATGGACAAAAACCATGTGTTATAACTCATAAAATCATGAATTTTAACCTCTGCAAAATTATTTGCCTATGGGTAAAAATAACTGGAAAAAAGCCAATTTTTGAGGTTATAGCTTATGAAATCATGATTTTTGACCTCCGTGAAATTATTTATCAATGGGTTGAGACGTCTAAAAATGGCCAAAAATCGTAGCTATAAAATAGGAAATTGTGAATTTTGAACTCCGTAAAATGATTTACCAATCGGTCGAAATTACTAAAAATGACCAAAAATTATGGATTATAGCTCATGAAATCGTGAATTTTGGACGCTGTGAAATTTTTTTAGGTTGAAATAACTAAAATTAACCAAAATCATGGGTTATAGCTCATGAAATTGTGAATAGACTTTGTGAAATTATTTGCCAATGGGAACATGAATGAAAATAGCCAAAAAAAATTATGGGTTATATAGCTCACAAAATCGTGAATTTTGAATTTCGTAAGTATTTTTATTAGTGGGTCAAAATGAGTGAAAATGACCAAAAATTATAGATTATAGCTCATAAAGTCGTGAATTTTAGACTCAACAAATTTTTCCCTTGGGTCTAAACAACTAAAAATAGCCAAAAATCATGGATATAGCTCATGAAATATTAAATTTTAGAATGTGCAAAATTATTTATCAATAGATCGAAATGACTAAAAATGGACAAATTTTGTGGGTTCTAACTCATGAAATCATGAATCTTTTACTCTGCAAAAGTATTTGTCAATAGGATGAAACGAATTAAAATGTCCAAAAATCATGGGTTATATAACTCATGAAATTATGGATTTTGAACTCGGTGAAATTTTTTTGCCAAGAGGTTGAAATGATAAAAAATAGCAAAAATTTTATGTGTTATAGATCATGAAATTGTGAACTTTAGACTTCCATTTTCTCTCCTAGGTCGAAATGAAAGAGAATCGATAAAAATCGTTAGTTATATTCATGAAATCGTAAATTTTGACCTCCACGAAATTAATTACTAATGAGTCGATATGAGTAAAAATGACCAAAAATTATGTTAGCTCATAAAATTATGGATTTTAGATCCCGAAAATTATTTACCAATAGGAAGAACTAACTAAAAATGGTCATAAATCGTTTCTTATAGCTCATGAAACCATAAATTTTGGTCTCTGTGAAATGTATTTGCCGATGAGTTAAAATAAAAAAAGGCTAAAATTATAGATTATAGCTTATGAAATCGTGAATTTTAGTCTCCATGATTTTATTTGCCAATGGATCGGAATGACTAAAAATGGCAAAAAGTTATGGGTTATAATTCATGAAATTGTGAATTTTAGACTCTGCAAAAGTATTTGCCAATTAGATGAAATGAATTAAAATAGCCAAAAATCATATGATATAGCTCATGAAATCATGAATTTTGATCTCCACAAAATTATTTGCCAATAGGTCAAAAGGGCTTAAATGGCAAAAAAACATTGAATCTATCTCATGAAAATTTTACAATTAGCCCATGAAAATTTTACAAGCAGCCCATGAAAGTTGCGATAACAACAAACACATTGTTGAAAATTTTAAAATATTACAAACAACTCCCAAAAAATTATACAAACAACCCCATGAACTTTTTAAAATTTACAAACACCCTTGAAGAATTCATAAAATTCCCCTAAAATTTTTTAAAAATTATAAATAATCCCTACAAAATTTTACAAAAGCAACCCCCTTAAAGACTTTCCAAATATTCCCTTAAATTTTTTGTCAATTTGAAACAATCCTCAAAATTTTGGAAAACCACAAGCAGCCTCTTGCTAGTTTCAAAGACCAGAAATAGCCCCTAAAAGTTTCAAAAGTTACAAACTTTACCATATAAATTTCTAAACTTACAAATAACCCCCTAGTTTAACATATTATATTATATTACTCTAAAATATCATTGATATGAGGCAGCCATTATGGGAGGGTATAATAGTCACGTGAAGTTCCATGTTGTCAATAGTAGAAGATGGTGGAACTTTCTACTATCTATTTTGGAGATAAAGAGGAAAGTCCTAATCTCATTCATGTCCCAATCCCCAGCGAAGAGAACACAAGATTTTGAAATCCCAACTACCTCGCCGAAGAGGACCAAATGATACCTATGTTCTTTTTCAATTAAATCTCTTCCTACAAAATATCAAATATCATCGTATATTTGTTATTTAGGTTTTAAAAGTCGCAAATTTTTATTCAGGTTTACAAAAGACAGATTGATGTTTAAGCTATCTGATTTTGAATTTAAAAGTTAAGATTTTAATGTTTCTAAGAAAATTTTACCACTCAAATTATCTACTTTTTAACTGATAAGAGAACTTCTGTTCTCTTCTTCTCATACCATAGCAAAACATGATTTTCAATGTCCCTTTCTTCATGAACATTTAATGTTTAAGTTAATTAATAGATGATTTAATAAGTTGTTCGTCTCAAAAAATAAAACCAAAAATCACTTACCACCCTACTGTGGCTTTATGCATTCGTAGGGTGGGTCAACCAACATATATATACCATGATGGCTTTATGCATTCTTAAGGGGTATAAACCAACGTATATAAACCAAGAAAATCAAAATAATCCATACAAGCACGGTGGTAATAATTGTTAAGAGGTAGATTAGAAAAAACTAACACAACCAAAATTCCCACACAAAAACAAACAGTGATCAAACTCGGAACATGAGAGAGATACCTGTTAAGTTTTGACGCAATCAGGTATTGACGCGCAAAGCAACGAATTTCACGTTCAAAGATGGAAATAGTAGTTGTCATGCGAAAGATTATTAGGTGGAAACAAACAAGAAGACATCAAATAGCTCTTCCATCACTCAAAACATCAAAATAACGCACCTTCCTTATTATTATCCTGCTCATCCTAAAGTCCCACACAAAGGATGTGAATAGAGGAAATCAGCTACATAGTACATAACTACTAAAACTAGTAATAAACAATACCAATATCACCCACAAATAAAGTTAATGATAATAGATACCATGAAACAAGGCAAATAAACCCCTAGGTTAAAATCCAACTTATTATTCAAATGGAGGCGGATGCATCCAGATGTGGATTCCTCTCTCAACCAGTTGGGGATATCAACAAAAGGTCATGGAGCCAAGAAATACTGAACATGTTCAGCTCTCTTATGTCCTCTCATTTCCCTATCCATCCACCTACAAAAATAGCAGTGAACAATTGGAATCCTTGCTTCAGTCTGATATTCTCATCTCCACTCCGAGAATATCTTTCACGACCTCGTATGAAACGAATGCAATGGCAATGGATGGCACCACCTGAACAGTTGAAAAATGAGAGAAGTTCAGCTTTTTATTCGAAAATGGTGCTAGAAATATTATCTTGGACTAATTGCAGATACATCCCTGCACTATAAGAGACAATAACTATTACGCACATGTAACCTTAATAGTAAAACAACATTATTTGCCCTCGATCTATAGGGAAAATTATTTTTTGTGTATGTGTACCCTATATTTTTTACAAAGCTGAGAATTTGAGTTTTAACCTTCACTGAGTTGGGAACTAGGCCCTTGTACAAGGCTCCGAATCCTTCACTATGCACAGTTTTTCTGAAAGCATCAATCATTCCAGTATATTCAACTGAGTTTCCCCCTTGGCCCCTAACAATGGTAGAAGCGTCTTTCCATCCAACCATCTGCATTCTTCTACGAATAACATCAAGAGGGTAGGCAACAGTCTGGCCAACAGTTCCAGCAGCAGCACCGCAAGCGAGCCTAGTCACCACACCCAACTCTTGGTCTTCGCCAAGTCCAAATGGTCGGGATTTAATCAGCCAATCCTTCAGAGATTCATAGACTGAAAAGTTGAGGCCAACATATGGGACCTGCAATATATCAAACAAAGTACTTGTTTCAGGGCTAATATAGAATGAACTGTGCAAGATATAGAGCAACACAGATCAAGACCTCCAAAAACGATGGTAGATGTCTTGTGCAAGTGGAAAAGATCTAATACAATTATTTAAAATAAGCACCCTTTTTTTGCGGTTTGACCTTCATTTTTTAGAATTTTAAAAATGCCCTTGTATTTTATTTTATTTTTTTGGGTGGCTTTTTTTTTTGGTTGAGGGGTTGGGGGGGGTTGGGGGGGGGGGGTTAGG